TGTGATATTGTTGTTCATGTATGTTCATGATGAAATTTTATTTTATTGTTGTAATTAATTTATAGCATTAACAAGATGACCCGTTGAATTATTTTTGGAGCTATGACTGATTGAATGTATTTTTAGTCCAGTGCCTGTATATAAGATTAGTATTGACCAAGTTCAGAGGCTGTCATATGTGGATCAACTTGCTATGTTGTGTATTTTCAACAGTTTCAATATGAAAAATAACTTTTTTTATATTATATTATATTATATTGATTCAATGGATTTATTGCATTTTGGAAAGAAAAAAAAACGTGTCATGGATTTATTGCATTTTGGGAAACAAATAATAAAATTTTATAATAAATCTTTGAAAATCAAAATCTGGATTTGAATTTTTGATGTTATTATAACCTAAAGATGCTATGTGAAAGTTTGAAACAGAAAATAGTGGTTTTCATCTTGCCACTTTCTTGGTAAAGAAAACACATTTTTACTCAAATGAATCAAAATGGATTTATAGCGTTTTGGAACCAAACTCTTCAGATTTTCATAACAGCTCAAATAGGTAAAGTAAACAAGAGTCAACTATTTTGTTGAGGAAAAAAAAGAGTATGTGTTCATTACATAAATAGGAGTTATGTATGACTCTGTTCCAAAACCTAGTGAGCTACTTTACTGTCTACGCAACTGCCTTCTAAGGAAGCATATTAACTAAAAATGGAACCTCAAAAATGGAATCTAAAGGACTCTTATTTGGGACGCTCCACATAGGGAGAAACTCTGTCAGTTTAACTATTTATTTTATGTGACTCACAGGGGAAACTTGATTTCAAGCTAACAATGCAAGGCACTAATATGCATTAAAATATTTTTTTTGGTGTTTCTTACCTTTATTTTTATAGAAAAGTAGGGTGTAGAAGGAAAATAGTTCACTTTTAATTTTAATTTGACCATATTTCTACCTTGGATGAAATTTCACTGAGCTGATTGCAATGCATTCTGGGTTTACTTATCCTTGAATCTTATCCTATACTACAGTTTTTTAAAGAAAATAATACCTTTATTTAGCAAGGACACATTAAATTGACCAAAAGTGACAGTTAAGACATAATGTTAAAAATTATTCTATTTCAAATTAGGGATTCTCATATTGACCGTTTAAACATAAACCGAAAGTACAAATTTTGACCGATTAATCCTATCAGTTAAACGGTTTTAAGGTTTTTTTTTAAAGTTGCTGCATAGTGAATGGTGAAAGAAAAAAAATGCTATGCATATTTGTTAACTCATGGGCGCATGTCGACACGTGCAACATGACCACAGACATATATCGCTGAGCAAGCACCTGCTTCACCTTCACTTAATTAACTGATGCAGTATACGCAACACAATGACAAGTGGCAATATTGGATAAATGGTTATCAGAGAGTGAATCGGAGAATGAATCCGTGAGTGAATGTATTCAAATTCTGAATGGATTATAGCCAAGAATGTGCGCAGTGCGCTCCCCTTATAATCACTGTGGAAAGCCGTCACTCATCTTACTGTAGTTCATCGCGATCTCACAAAGTTAACTTAAAGTAATCAAAGAAGCTTTACACTACACAAATAATCTCTTATTTCCATCATGTCTACACTTTCTTTGTTGCAATGAGAGAATTTGCGAACGTGTAGAACTCAGCAGCACTGAACAGAGATTATTTGTGTAGTGTAAAGCTTCTTTGATTACCGGCGTTTTGAGAGGTGAGTGGATTGTAACTTAACCACCTCTGATTGGCCACTGCGTTAATGAAATCAACAGATATGTCTGTGGTTGGCTATATTGCTCAATGCTGCAAAAACACGCTGTGAATAGAAACATATGACCAGTGGATGAAAAGTTCCGAACCACAGAATGACGGGATTTTCGTGATGGCGTTTTTGTCGCGGGTCTAACAGTTAACAGACAGCGCTCCAGTCTATCCGCACAGCATGTCGACATGTTTCTTTTTTTAAATAAAAAGTAGACACGTTGTACACTGAGGTAGGCCTGCTATTTATTTTTATGTCTAACGGGGAAAAAAAACAAGACTATGCCGGTTTAAAGATGTGTGAATCCAGGTTTTGTTGTTGCTCTGTATGCTGCTGTTTGCATGTTAAAATAAACCCGTGAAAAAAAAAAAAGATATATGTTTGTTTGTATTTTTAATGTATCACAGATACTTTTCCATTCTATTTTTATTTAATACTAATTTATTATTCTGATTTTATCAGTTAACGGTTAATGTTTGGATAATGAGCAGCAGTTGCCAGAAAAATTAACCAAAATGAGAATCCCTATTTCAAATAAATGCAGTTCTATTGAACGTTCTATTCATCAGAGAACACGGGGGAAAAAGGTTTCTGAAAATATTATATTTTAAGAATTAAGTTAACTGTTTTCAACATTGATAATGATATTAATTGTTTCTTGAGCTGCAAATCGGCATATTAGAATGATTTCTGAAGGATCATGAGACACTGAAGACTGGAGTAATGATGCTGAAAATTCAGCTTTGATCACAGAAATAAATTACATATTCAAATATATTCAAATAGAAATCAGTGCTTTTAAATTGTAATTATATTTCACAACATTACTGCTTTTAATGTATTTTTTATCAAATAAATGCAGCCTGGGTGAGCATAAGAAACTTTTTTGAAAATCATTTTAAAAAATCTTACCGACCATAGTACTGTATGCAATAATGGTCAAAAAGAATTCCTATAGACATTTTAGAGGATATGTTTGTGATCAGTTGTTTAGTGTCTATTTAAAGTCCTTTTACTTTTCATTCTAAAAGTTTGGTTTAGTGTAAGAAAAAATTATAGGATGCCCACTTTTCATGCCACTTCTATGCGATAAGGTGAAAAAGAAGGATCTTCAGAATTATGCTGCCTACAGTTTGTCAGAGCTGTCACATCGAGAAAACACCTATGGTGCTTTAAAACACTCACTAGGTTTCAGAACAGAACCTGCGTGTCCTTAATGAGAAGTGACGTGTGTGATGTTAACCTGAACGGAGACTTAGCACTCACCTTCGGCTGAGCTCTGCGTGGGAAGGCCACCTTAGGGTCAATCTGAGAGAGAGAGAGAGAGAGAGAGA